TTCTTCTTCTTCTTCTTCTTCTTCTTCTTCTTTTCTTCTTCTTCTTCTTCTTCTTCTTCTTCTTCTTCTTCTTCTTCTTCTTCTTCTTCTTCTTCTTCTTCTTCTTCTCTCTCTCTCTCTCTCTCTCTCTCTCTCTCTCTCTCTCTCTCTCTCTCTCTCTCTCTCTCTCTCTTCAAACTGACGTTGAATGATGTTTGTAGTGACAACGGCTGGAACGACACGTGGATACGCGAAGAAATCTTGGGGTTACTTTGTACGATTAAAAAGGTGAGCATATCAAACGAGTAAAACTTCCCCACCTCGATGTTAACGAACGTGCAACGTCACGACGATGACGCTATACGACGAAACGATTGTCCGTGAGATTATATAACAGCGTAGAGAGAATCGGAACGTACGCGTCGAAAATGCATCATCTTTCCCTCCTCGAATTTTTTATCGTAATAATTCGCTTTCGTGCGCGAAAGATTCTTCCTCCATTATACGTGCGAATTTTACAATCGTGGGATAAGAGTGGAGATTATTTAAGAAGAAAAAAAATAAAAATTCGTCCATCTTTTTCACGATCGATCGATCGATCGATCGCTCGCTCGAACGATCGAATTACCGAAATTCGTTGTATGTTTTTCCCGTCCAGTTGGATACGTTTGAGAAGGAAGGCGGAGGAAAGGAAGAATAAAAAGCGAGACAAGCTGCTGCGAAACATGGACAAAAGCAAATGTTCTCGTGGCGGCTAATGAAACGCCCCGGGGGAGAGGGGGAGGGGGAGGGGGAGGAGGGTGGTGGTGGGGGAGGGGGTGGGATGGTGGAAAAGGGGGCGAGAGAAGAGAGCGAAAAAAGGGTCGGGAGGGCGAAACGGAGAAAAATCGATGTAAAACGTAACGGAAAGGGGGTTAAACAATCGGTCACCGGCCGTACGAAATGGGTTATTTCGCGATGGCCGATGTTTTAGGTGTGGCGAAAAGGGAAAAACCTGTCGATTCTTTTTGTTCCCCGTTTTTCGAACCGGATAGACGCCCCGCCGAGAAGATGTTCTCTTCTCCCTTGATTCATCGATCTGTTCGCTTCCTTCCTTCCTTCCTTCCTTCCTTCCTTCGTGGCGAGACAACGGTAATTGGCAAAAGATCGATTCAACTTGGCTGCACTTTGAAGAAACATAATAAAATAAAATGTGATGAGTGTGATAATGCTTCGCTTATTGATTTCTCGTTTTCGCGACGAGATCTCGATCTCGATCTCGATGGAGAAAAAAAGAGGGGATAAATGCACTGCCCCCTCTTTAATCTAAAAGGACGCCGTAGTTTTTTTTTTTTTTTCTTTTTTTCTTTTTGCCGATTTCCAGTTTCGGGAAATCGATTTGGAAAGAAGAATTTGGAAAGAAAGCGTAGTAGGAGCCGCTGTGAAATCTTTGGTGGTCACAAAAGGCTCGATGGAAAAAAACTTAAATTGCTTTGCCAACCGAAAGTCCGAGCTAATCGGCAATTTCGTGGAATAAATGGTGACGTAAAACGCGTTGTTGGCGTATATAGCACGTTATAGTTAGTTGGTCGAAACGTGCACCCTTCGAACGGCTTTCCTTCCGCATTCGCATAAGAATACGATCGTTGTTCGTTGAAGTAATTAAGAAATTTCGCGGAGAATACCGCGTATATACGCATCGCGTAACGCGTAACAGTTCTCCTATTGTCATTCGATGTATTTTCGTTCCAATAAATCTTTTCGTTCTTCGAGAACGGCGTTGATCCGAGCTTATTGTTCCACCACACCACGTGACCGTTAATGGTCACGTTATTTTAACGAGTGTCGGAAAATGAGCGTTATACAATTGCTGCATCGATGTGACGCTGTATCGTTATCGCATCTGTGACCGACTTATTTTAAATCCGTTCTCCGTCTCACGCTCCAAAACCGATCGTATAAATATTCATCGAAAGGTGTGCCCATCCACGTAAAAATTCCTGCGCGTCTTTTCCACCACTCGTGAAACCCGACCGACCGCGCGTCCTCTCCAACCTACGGAAATTCGATTTTCCACGTTCGATCGAGGAGAATATATCCGTGGTTGATCGCGCGCTCGGGATTACCGACACCGAGAGACTTGACGTCATCCGCCCAACGATATCGCGCAAACGATGCCGTTTCGACGCCGAGCGTGGCGACGGATCGATTCGTCTCGATTAATAGGAATCTTCTTATTTGCCTTCTTTTTTCCACCGGCCTCTCTCTCTCTCTCTCTTTCTCCCTCCCTCCCGACACCACGAATACCCATCATAATTTTATAATTCCAAGTTGGAGAGCGAGGAGAGCGAGATGTTCGATCGAGATGCATCTGGCGTCGCGCTGCCAATATCGATAATTCTTATCCGTCCGACCTACTTACGCTAGTCTTCCATCCCTAAGCGCGTAATAACGGCACGCGGTTCTCGTTAACGGGTGCCGACCAAGTTCGCTTCCTACGATGGATAAATTATAAATCAGAAGCGGGAAAAGTTGGCCATTACCGCGTCGGTTTCTTGGACGAGAATCGATCTGGTGGGTGAACAGGTAGATAGATAGATAGATAGGTAGGTAGGTAAGTGATAACAGTCGTACGTCGATGATCCGACAAAGAAAAGTTAAAGGCGGAAAATTTCAAAGGATGGGAAAACTTTCGCTTTTCGATCGATCCGTTGTACGCGATCTATCATTACGTCAATCGCGGTGCCACCTGTTATTACGATATATCGCGGCGACCGCTCTTCCATCGCGTTTCGCGCGCTGCTTATAACCGAACACTCGCCGATTACGCCTTCTCGTGGCTGGCGCGCAGGAATTACGCCGCTAATTACGTAAAATGCCTTCTCTTCTCGACGCGCACGCCACGGCTTTCCATCCTCGTAATCTCGCCTCTACCCCGAATACCCCTGGTGTGCGTGTTAATTTCCGATCCGCTCGAAACGATCGGTTCTCGCGCCGCCGATACGAGTATTAAGGAAAAAGAGGAAAAGAAGAGGAGAGGCGCCATTTTTTCCCCACGCATCGCGGCCGGGATACAAAGTATCGTGCAAGGATCTGGCACGATTGGGGCGGCCCCGTGAAAGAACGTTTTAATCCCGCTCTAGAACGAGGGGAGGGAGGACGTCGACCGGTACGCGAAACGTTATTTCAAGAGAGATCCGATCGTTCGGCCGTGTTAAGCGCGCGGAACAAAAGAGCGGTAATAATTACTTTTCGCAGGACTGTCACGTTCGTGGAGGTTCGATTCCGGTGCATCGCTCGGTTATTAATATCTTGGGATGCTGCTTTCGCTCCCGATTAATCGACCGGACAACGATTATCCCTTTCGATTCCGCTCGGTGTCCGTAAACGAGACGATCCCAGCCGAAGGACGTCCATCGTTGCACGATTTCGCCATCTCTCATCCCCGCCCGAAATCCTCCTGCACGCGTGGGCCGCCGGTCCAGGAGGTTTATAAATTAATACTATATACGAATCTGTCGTATATAGTCGAAGTATATATACGCCGTTTTAAAATTTATTTCCACGGCATATATTGGCCTCGAATGTTTGATTCTTCGTAAATCGAGACGGTAACGAGTCCTCCCGTTTACTTCCAACTTTGGTGGCAGCGCGATAAACGATACGCGATAGTAGATGCTCGTCGCTCGATAAAAACGCGAATCGTGTATTCGAACGGTGTCGTTGTTAATTATACAGATGTTATATAGATCGTTCTCGCATCGAATTGTGTACGGTTACTCGGGTGGAGGGGGGTATTTTCGCTGCCGAAAATGTCGTTGATCCCTGTCACAATGGTGTAGAATCGTCGACCGTTTCCCGTTGTCTATCGGGGTGAGAGAATAGAACGATCTCTCCTTCTCGAATTCTTCGACTTCGATCCTTCGAGAGGCTGGAGGAGCAGGTTCTCTCCCTTTGTGAGGGACGAAAGGAAGGAAGGACGGAAGGAAGGAAGGAAGGAAGGAAGGAAGGAAGGAACCGACACAGAAGCGAAAGGGGTGCACGCATGACCCTGAACCTAACCGACGCGCCACCCGGTACAGGGGTGCGAAACTCCGACAACGAGAGCAAGAGAAGGAAAGAGAGATAGAACGAGCGCGGAGGAACACGATGGAGAAGAGGACAGGAAAGGGGAGGACGCGCGTATATATGTCGAAGAGAGAGAAGAGGGAGGGAGAGGGAGATGTGGAGAGAGAAAGAGAGAAACAGTCAGAGTACAGTCCCCGGGATCAATACTCCCGCGTCTTGCGATCATTCATCTTGCCACGCCCCTCTGCTCTCTCCACACACTCTCTCTCTCTCTCTCTCTCTCGTTCTTTCTTCTCTCTCTTCCTTCCTTCTCTCTCTCTCTCTCTCTCTCTC